CCCCACCCCGTCCCAACCCGCCTCACCCCGCGCACCCGAGTCCCGGTCTAGCTCTCGTTGGGTCGGGTCGGCCCATTAGGTCAACCACGGGGTTCTCGAGCCTCCAGTCAACCGGTGTGCTGGACCCCCACCCCACACCCACATCAACAGGTCCCCGGCCTGGTGAGGCGCTACCATCCCCTATCAGAAAGCTGCCCCACCTGAACGTCCCCCCCTCCCGCCCTCCTTTACCGCGCCCCAGTCTGGTTCCCAGAGAGAGTGTTGTCCAACTCGGGCAGCCCATCCCCATTCTAATTGACACTTTGACACTGTTCCAAGCCAACACGAGCCCGGCCCGTGGGCCAGGCGCACTGTAAATAAACAACTGTATTGATTTCGACACGCGCGGGTGATCGCCAATAACGAATGACATGATCAAATACACGGCCGGCGGGAAGGTGCAAACAGCAGCAAACGGGCATGTGAGGAAAAGGCTCTTATTATAACCTTCGCTTTTTATTTTGCGGCGTCGCCCTCTGTGGGTAGAGCAGCCAGACCAGCTGGCATCACTCCATACCCCGGTCTAGTAGGTTTGCGTGACGACACGACGCTGCTTGCCGATCGTCGGCGTCGGCCATTAGAAGCGTAGACGTACGGTCGACTTACGTCGACGTTGAGCGGGAGGAAACATATTACCCGACTTTTATGTTCATTTAAATTCTGCGCTTCTATCATGATCGTCACCATGACGATCGCAGCCACCCGCTCGAGAGGGGGAGGGAGGTGGGGGATAAGGTAGGGCGCGCTGGCGGACAGGACGCCCGCTGAAGCAGTAGCCAGGGTCGCGGAGGCGGAGAGGGAGGGGGCCGCCCCCCGAGGACCCCTACGCACGGCTACGCCTTGGCTACGCCGCTGACGGGGACACCGGTGCGCGGCGGTGCGGCGCTTTGAGTCGGTCAGTCCGTGTGCGGCCCGCGACCCGCGACCCGCGACCGCGCGACCCCCGCGAAGGGGTATCGGCACCCGTTCAGGGATGCGTCGGGATCACCACAAACTGACCATCGCGGCCACCGCCGCCCCTGCGGGGTTGGCGGATGGCGGAGGGGTGACGGGACAGGACACGCGCCGTCAGGGAGAGCCCGCTCCGCCCCCGGGCGGCCGCCGGGGCGTACCCAAAAGGGCTCTTCTGTCTGAAATCTGGGTCGGTGTGTGAATGATCGGTCGGTCGGTGCCTGTGTACTATTCAACTGTCATGCGCCGACCGATCCCAGACCGATCGTTCACCCGTCCGAGAACACAACTTACCTACCCTCGTCTCTTCAACTCAACCCCATTATAGGGAAAACCCGACGAAAATGATTGCGCCTTAGTAGATAGCGCTGTTGCTACGCGGGGAGGCCCTCTATCGTGTCGACTATTTGGCGCCTAGAGTGAAACCGCAAAAATGGACGGAGTTTAACGACCATCAACCACAATTCGCGGTTCCTCACACGAGAAAATACAAAATACTGTCCTCGAACGTTTTAAAAGGGATGGATGTTGAGTTTAAGTGGGACAGAGGTGGACAGTTTTTCTCGCAAAGCGCGCTGGTTGGATGGCAGGTCCACCGAATGTCGCAGCCGGGGCGGGGGTGCTGGTCGTGGTCCGTCCTTACCCTTGCTGCTCCGGTGTGCTGCGGGGCTGTCGGCCGACGGGGTGCTCCCGTGCCGGAGGGGTGCGCGGGGTACGCGGGGGCGGAGGTCGCGGCCGTGGGCGGCGAGGGCGAGGACGCGGACGTGCTCGTCTGTGTTCCGGGCGCTGCGCGGCGGCGCGAGGTGTGTGCGGCGGGGCCGGTTGGCGTGTCGCGAGGTGACGGACGCTAAGGCCGAGCGACGAGTGAGCCCGGGCGGAGAACGACACTACACACGATCCGACCGACCGAGGTGGACACGACGGGGCCTATGTTGGCGGCGAGAGCCGTCGCTGGCGGGTCCCCCCTCGGCGCCCCCCCCCC